GGGTAAAATTACCTCGGGTTTTGTTTTAATCTAAAAGCTCAATGCAATGTGTCAGGCCTATTTTTTTCATTTTCATTTTGTTGGATGTGTGTCCCCACAGAGGAATCTAAATTTTCCTACAATAATGATTCTGTCGCTTTTCATTTTTCAGCACTAATAATACTAATGAATGAATGGTTTGATGGAATTTTTCATCTGTATTTTTTTTGCTTTTAATACAATCTGTTCTTTGCCGTGCTGACGATGGCATCCTTAGCTCAGCTTGCCTACGGGCTCAGTCACAAACAAACCGAGGTTTAGAAAAAATGTCTAACATTTATGTGGAAACACTCCTGTCTTATAGTGCAGATGGTTAATCTGAGTTTCCATAGGACAGTTTCTCTAAAAATAATTCATTTTTACTAATAGAGAATGTAGAGAAGAATCACTTCAGCATCAATTAAGTAAAAGGTCTCAACGGAAACCACTTGAGAAAAAGTATGTTCTAATTACCCATTTGATTTTATCTGCCTACTGTTGCCAATTATGTACCAAAAGGATTACTAAAAAAGGGCTCTGACAGCCAGATTAGCTTCACCTGTCATTTCACACCAAACAAAAATCCTTTTTCCTTACATAAGCCGTGTTCAGGTTGGTTACAAATGGCCTTCTTGTCTGAAACATATTTAAAATTATCCTCTAGGGAGAAAACATAATAATAGAGAAAACTCTAGGGATAATCTGAATATTGTGTAAAAGAACAGAAAAAATATAGAGAAATCTCCAGTCAAAATTACTTGGTAGAATTAGTACTACTAATGTAACACTAGGCAGTACACCATTAAATATTTGGATTTTTAGGCTCTTTGAATTATTGTATGAAATAAATTTAGCTGTACAATCAATAAAACTAAATCTAGAAGAGAGAGGCTATAATATGCTGTGTCCTATTCAAAATACTGTGCGCAGGGATTAAAATGCATCTTCAGCACCACAGCCTCCCTTCATGCTATTATCATTTATATATATATTATACTGCAATTATACTGTACATGTATTATTATCCATACAAACCTGTACATATAGAATGGAAATGCATTTTTTCAACCGACATGTCACTTTGTGAATTTGTATATATACTGTAACTACATCTGATTTGGTTAAAATTGTATTAAAAACTAGGCTTGTTACCTGTGCCTTTGACTTCTGTGCCTGTGCCTTCTGCCTACACTATTGTTATATTATGGTTTTCAACTATTAACACCTTGTTGTCCAAAATAAAACAATGTATTAACTCTATGAAAGTACCTTGTTTTCTTATGCAGGTTATTATTATTGCATTAGAAATCCACTTAGACCAGCATAGTATTAACCTTAGTGGAAGAACATTCTTTCTTGCCTTTCTAGCAATTTTTTAGAACACATGGTAGACAGCTAAAACCATCGGTTCTCCAATATTCCACCTGTTCCCTTTAAATCATTTTTCCTTCCTAAACATAACACAGAGAGTAGCCTTAATTGTCAATAATTTACTGATGACTTTGGACTCACTTTGCCCAAGTCTACCACTTAATTACTTGATCTAATGTCAGCCTTAGTTAAGGTTGTTCATTATTTTCTTCTTAAAGGTCAAATGACTGCCACATGTAAAAAAAGTAAAATATTAATATATACTTGACAGTTTCTACAATGGTGTTATATAATAATTCTTCTTAATAATACTTTGCTTTTTTAAACCTTTTATAACTTTAAATGTGTCACATTGAAAAATGTAGAATCTACTGTAGCATACTGCTAGTAAATGTTCTCAAGAACAAACAATATTATTCAAATTTACCGTGCGGCAGGCTGCATTATATAAGCCGCTCTTACTCGCTTATCACTGCTCGGTATTGAGTTCCCTACCTGTGGCTCTACCTAGCGTTTCTTTCCCTTTGCCTTACCGGATTTTCTGACCTCATCGCTTTGCCTTCGGACTACGTTTCTCGTCTCGCCCAGTGGATTGTTTGCTACCCGTGACTATTTTTGGTATCAACCCTGTAGCTCTTGTTCCGATCACGTATCTGTCTCTCGTTCTGGATTGTTCGCCACCAGTGCCGTTAACTGATCTCGACCTACCTTTCGCCTTCGGATTACGACCCAGCTCCTGGATAGCTCTGTCCGCCTACTCACCGCCCCAGGAATCCTGCATCTGCATCGGATCCTTTTCTTCACAACCCAGCCTTCGTTACACAAAGTTGGCCAAGCCAAGCCAACACGGCAGGGTAGCTCTTTTCAGATTGCAACTAGTCTTTGGTTAATAAAGTACCTCACATTCTGAAGTATAATTGCACTTCCCCATAGTTTCCACCTGAGCCCTCTTCTTCGTGATTCACTTCTGAATATGTCCATTGACTTGATCTTTGAGGGTTTTGAATCTTTCAATAAGCTTGTAGACATCTCTGTTCCAAGACTAAAAAATCAGTTCTTTAGCCTGTGTAGGACACTGCTTTAAGACCAGAGAAGTATCTGGTCACAAACTGATTTCAGTAAAGCAATATAGGTTCTGAAAGATTATAAAAGAAAATAATTGTACCCAGTATTCTAAATGAGGTCTTATTGGAACATTATACTATTTTATCGTAAGATTCCTTGATAAATATTCAAAACTTTGATTATATATTGCAACATTTTTGCATTTTTTATTTCTACCCCACAACATCTGCAAAATCTAAATATTGATTATGTACAATATTATACAGTAGTTTATGTTTCCACTGCATTTAACACTTGACTCGTTTTAATGTGATCATCCAGAACATTTTTTGAAGAATCTTGAATAATGTCTGAATCATTTTTGAACTTTCCATTTTTACACTTTTTGCCTTGGTGTTTCATCTTTCCTGTTTTTCATCTGATAATTTGACTCGTTCACTGTACCAGACTCATAAATTAGGAAGCCCCAGCAGGAGGTTGTTATACCGCAGCTAGTTGAAACTCACAGTCACGACCACAGTACTGCAGAAATCCGATTCGAGGGTCTCTGCAATCTTCAGTGGCTCATGGAGAAAGCTGAGGTTGGAGGTGCTCAGGACTCACAAGAAACAGCTTAGGGTGAACGGAGATGAAGCAGAGTTATGGTGGGTGGAGATCTGGAGGTCCCCATTTAGCACAACTCTGCTTCATCGACGCTACACATATGGGTCTTTTCCTGCTCTCCTGCCTCTCCACGCTTCGTCTCCTCCGACATCCGTGACACTTCTGGCTTGAACTAACTTCTGAACTGAACTAAGTACTTCCGTAAGTATCTTAATTCTCAGAGCAGCATCCCAGTGGCATTTTGGGAATTATAAAGAAATGTCAATTGGATGATTGATTGACAGATTGATTTAATTATTGATAGAGTGAGAGGTTCACCGACAAATGGCCTGAGCATGTTTTGAGAACCCTGGACAAATGTGATCACTCAGGGGAATGTTACCATGTCCCAGGCCAACAGAGTACTGGGAGCCGCTGCCATCCCAGGAGTGACAGAGGTATTTCTTTGTTTTTTTGGTAAACGCCTGCACAGATTATTAATTTAAATCATTAACTATTTCTCTTTCATTGTCTAAATTTAGGGCCAAGAACCATTGGAAACAGCAAAATTTGCATATAACCAAGTCCACCCCTATACTGAAGCATGATGTACTGCAGTATGTATGGGTACAACCCTTCTTTATGTGATAATTACAGTACTAAAGCATTGGATTTAAGTTAATTAAAATAACATTGATCAACTGAAACAAGCAACAGTAATCACAAACTTATAGTAATAAGCTAAAATAGACTGCATTAATCCTTCCTCTGCATCTTGTGAATGCCTGCCCTTTCTGCCTTTATAATGCAAAGGACAATACATCAATGAGGCAGTAAGAAGTAATCTCCACCTTGTCATTCCCCACACTGCCAGCACAGAACCAGGAACATTTGTTACAATTCAAAAACAGTAGGCATTGAGATGCGGATGCTGGTCTGTGGATACCTGGGCACGGGACAGAGAGAGGGTCACTCACAAGCTAGCTTTGTTTTATGATCCTAGTCTGTTTTGCGTGTCACACTTAACAACCATCAGCTGGGTTTTCTTTAACTGGATCTTCCTCTTTTTTAATCATTGACTTTGATCTACAGATATTACAGAAAATCTGACCTGTTTTCAGGAATCTACTGATTCTATATCTATATCGCTCACATTCTGTTATCTTGTAAACTCTTTCATTCTTCTAAGTCTGCTGAGATTACAAATCTTTGTCTTTCAAAGTATACTGTACATCAAAGCATACAATATTTTTACCACAGTTTCCTAATTGCTTATTTTATAGAGTTATACTCATTTTATTTTTATTTTAAAGAAGATGCCTCTACGTTTCTTCCTTCACACCCAAAGTCCTGATTTAACTAACTGGTATCTGACTTTGTTGCATAGCATGCTCCCTATACTACACCTTTACAACATTTTCACATTTCCAATGAGTCTGGTCCAAATAGATGCTGGGTTTTATGCTGAGTTACAAAAGTCATGCCAAATGTCCCTTGACCATTCATAAGTGTCTTTAAGTGTTTCTCCAATCAAAGCAGACAAATCAGTGTACAATAAACTACTACATATTAAACAATTTAAGTCTATAAAAATTAATTATTAAAAATGCAGTGATAAAAAAACACAATGATTCTTTATTTACACTGTACAAAAAGTCATCATCACAAAAGATGTGGTTACATCTTGTAAACTTCCAAATAAAATATCTGATTTAAAAACTATGATATGTTATAATTGCTTACATAAACACTGTATTTTCATATTAATACATCAAATATTTGAGCACTTCACTTAGATATCAGATTTATTTTAATAATCTGATTATGCATTTCTGGATTTACTTTTAATTTCCGTGGATTTGTGAGAAAAATCTACACCAATAGCAAAGAATACAAAGAAGAGAAGAGACATTCCTGTCTTGTGACCTACTAGATTATTTTTCACTGAGAATAAGATAACCTACCTTTGGTGTTTTTGAGCACTTCCCGTTTCTTGCATCCTTGATATTGGTGACATCCAAAAGGTCAGTTTCCTATAAAATATACAGTATAAAATTACTGGAAAAGCATGATTTAAATCTAAGTGAATTAAATTGTTTGTGCTATACTGTTGGTTATATTAAGGTAAGAACATGATGCCCATTTATATTACCAAACTTATTTGGTCTATTAATAAGAAAAATGATCATTATGAAAGAAGGTGTGTTCATGTCTCGCTTACAGGACTGTTTTCCCTGCTTTATTTGCAATTGGAATGCAGCCAGAAGGTGACACTAATCACTTTGTCCAGAACCCATTTGACTCACGTTTAATTCTTCCCATAACCTATTTTAGGCTCCAGAGTGTCACTGAAAATCTGGTTATTTTCACCACAGAGTACAAGACATCTTCTGGCAAATATTATTTTAGAATAAACTAGCCAAACATTTCTAGGCAATCTGCTCAAAATGACAGTGCTGAAAATTTAATGATTAATAAAATGCAAGCAGCATTGCATACTTCACTTTAAATTAGGGCATAGGATATTGGTTATAAAAGCAGCTTTTAGTATTATGTTATTATACTTCAAAACAGACAACTTTAAGTCCAAATTTATATAAGACAGGTGGCTTTTTGGCACCTTTAGCTCATTTTATTTTTAGCAGCTTTTTGTTCCAAGAAATATAACCAGATAATTCTTGCAATATCCCTGGGAATGTGATTCAACAACTAGCTCTACACTTTGTTCCAGACACCCAAGACTCTTCGTGTAAAAATGAGCATCCTATTTTTAGCCTTTAATAGGTGGCAAGGCTTCCCACTTAAAGTTTAACACACATTAACAAGGTTGCTATTTCAACTCTGAAAGTAGGATACCACAAAATGCTCAAAACAGAGTTTTTGAGTGTTTAAGATGCTTTAAGGTTTAAATATCACACATTGAAATGACTAGCCTTTGAAGATAAAAAGGTAGAACATAAGTCCCCTTAAGAATTTATTATTGATAGACACAAAAGTGGAACAGAGAACACATCTAGCTACTGTATATAAATACTTACAGAAGCTCAAAGAAATAAGGAATGTACATTAGACTACAGTAACTGATATAAAAAGATAGATCACTGTAATTTGTTACATTTCACTGTATGTGATTGAAGAAGCATAACACAGTTAACCAACTTCAGTTCATTCGCATATCTTCTAGCTCAACATAGGAAATACAGGAAACAATATATAATGAATGCAGTATCATTTTTAAACTGTTACATTAAATACAGCTAAGACTAAGAAATTCTGTTTCAGTCACCATTCTTATTTCTTGAAATTGAACACTGCTATCTGCCAATAATAGTACTAATTTTGCATAGATCTAATGTTGAAAACAAGCACCGCTTCATAGCTAATAGTCTTATAATAGGAACTGGGGAATACACATGTTCTTTTTACTGTGCACTTGAGGATTTAGGCAATTTTCTGGAATAGATAGTATTCATGACCTTTTGGCAACACAGATGCTGCCATGCCCTCCAGCCTTTTGTAATAATGGAATTTTTCTCCATTAAATACAAGTTTTGGATTCTCAGACAGTGGTAATGTATTGCAACATTCCACTATAATCCCCGCAGGTCCCAGCACACAACCATCAGCAAGAAGAGTACATACAGTATTTCATCAAGCCTGTAGAATGAGACTTATATGCACACATAAAAATTGGATTGGAATGGACTTTAATACAGCTGATGCTTAGTGATCTCATCCACATTAAATGCAAGCATTTTCCTGCCTTAATTGGATAAGACAAAGGGCAGCAACCACAGCATGAGTGAGTTGGCATTCAGCTGCAAAGGTCTAATTTTTAGATCCAAGTTTTGGTTATGTTCACATTTTGAATGAATGATCAATCAATCATTGTTACCAAAACATTTAATAATTTACCTACAATCCTTTTTTCTAAAAAGATACATGCATACATAGACTGATAAATTTAGAATGAATACAAACATGAGTACCTATGAATGGAAAGAATTTGTCCCACCTAGCATGGTTGGTGGTTAGTAGCTTTGTGATTTCCCAAAAGAAACCAGGGTATTGAATTTAACAATAGTTCCATACCACTTATTTCATATTATGCTCAGTATATGCTGTATCTAGCAGAGCAGAGTGTCTTTACCAGGGGGCTAAGGGGCAGTCATATACACCATTAATTGCATTGTTATATTATTCCTAGTATTTAGCCCTTCGGAATCAATCCAATTTATGTTGTATTACTGAACCTCCAAGCCAGATCAGCAATAAAAGACACAATACTGTTAAGTTCTCCAGACAGACCAAATTCAGAAAAATAAACTACAAATCCATCTGCTAAACTCACTGCTGTAACCAAATACACAAATTAATTACAGTATAGTATTTTCAGTAGCAATATTGTTGTAAGCTATGGGCTGTATCTGTGTGCCTTCAGAAAGCTAAGAATCAAGATCACCAGAACAATTAGCTTCCCTATTACTGTATGTCTGAATGAGAAAAGGTGTTGCGTTATGCAGTAATTGGACAACTCAAACAGGAAGTGCTCTGTATATATCACATTTTATAACTAACATTTCTGGGTCTTTGGCATCATCACAAAAATGTTATGAAACAGGAATCAGAACAATCTATAACTGTATCATGTTGCCTTTTAAGAAACAATAAAGGTGGCACATATTCAACTATCACATCAGCAGAGTGTTGATAGTGTGGAGTAGTGAATAGAGGTTGTGGACTCTTAACTATAGGGTCACAAGTTTAAATCTCAATGGTATTCTACCCAGATTGCTCAAGAAAGGCTGTTTGCACATCCATAAAAACATAAAATATGTAATATTAAGTTGTCTTCAACAACAGTGTTAGCCTGAATTTAAAAAAATACAGAACAGTGGTTAGAGCTGCCTGGAAGCTGATGGATACTAATCTTGTATGCTTGAACACTTTACTCTGAATAATTAATAATAATAAAAAATACTCTGTTGAACAAACTTGTTCAAATTAGGTTAGGTTGCATAAGAGCATCAGAAATAATAATGGTGAGGTGAAAGTGAATATAGAGTTATCAACAGAGTTCTATATAATAATGAAATGTATGTATCAAATTATTTCTTTCAACTTAAAGCGCTGAACACCAGAACAATAAAGAACAGAAGAAAAAAACAAAAAAAGCACAGCGAATTGACTTGACACCAAAAGTAAATAATACATTATATGTAGATTAAAAGCTTCACTGCAAAGATAAGTAGGTAATATTTGAAAATGTGAAAAATCACAGTATCTCTAAAGGATATGAACAGTTCCACGGACATTGTGTTGCATGCAAGACAGATTTACTGCTCAAGGTGTGAAGTCTAGTCTTCCAGCAGCTCTTCGATTAAAAGAAGGCCTGTACTCATTCTTATCCTTCCTATTTCCATCCTATTCCTAAAGACGTTCTCACACTTGTCCATTCAGTGACTTATACGTGATCAGTAGAATTATGAATACCTGTCCAAATCTCACTGGCAGCCAGTGCATTCTACAGAGGATGAGAGTTACAGTATATGCTGATCTAGAGCAGTTTTAGTCAGCACATGAAATTCAGAATTTTGACCATACCACAATCAATTTTGTACTGCCTAAAGACAACAACCAAGAACTGAATGCATCGGGAATGTCTGGAATACTTGGTGAGATAAGTTTGGCTTAACCTGCTTGGTTAATGGGTAGCCTCCTGGCTATAGGATACCCATCTAGAGAGGAGTTAACCAGGGGGTAGCTGCATGGTGGAGATGGGATGGAGGATTGACGCTTGATTCAAATGCAAAGGAAGAAGTTTGTGTTTGATACATATAGCTACAGTAAGTTCCATAATGACGGTGATTAAGTAGAGCTGCATATAAGTGAAATGTTTTTGTTATCCCTCCCGAACTTCAGTTAATAAGTTGCTTATATTTTAAGCCTATCTAGCATATGAATTGGAGCATATCTGATGTTTACCACGCTTTAAGCAAAGCTTAGTAACATTTGCATTTCCCAGCAAGATATGAACTATTCAGAAAGCTTAGAACAAAGAGTATAGTTTTGTAGTTTTTGCTTAGCTTTATATGGACTAAGAGGCAAGTAAAACATAAATGGTTAAGATGGGTTCCTAATGATTTACTTTATAAGGACTTAATCAACTCCTTGGTAAATCATTGAGGTGGCCCTAATAATGAATAAACAGTCAACAGTGACTGCTCATCCCTAGGGAGGTCAGCCTCCATAGGAAGGGATTGCAGCATATAGACAGGGAAGATATGACAGAAGAAAAACAACACAGAGAAGCAGTACCAAGAAAAGAGAGGGTGAGAGAATTAAGAGAAATATAATTAAGATTAATAACAATAATAAAACAATAGCTGAGTAATTATCCATCTGCTGCCATCCACTTATAATATTTAGTTTACGCTATATACTGATGCACAGTGAAAAAAACTGCCAGATTAAACTTTACACCAGTAACTAATTACAACAGAATTTGTATTTGAAATTTTGAGCAAATAAAAGGTTTGATTGAATAGTATTATTCCTTGGGATCCCAAGTTATGCAATTTAATAAAAATGAGAGTTGCTTATTGTTTAGTATTTGAGTATATTTGTTTCTCCTTGGGTTGACTCAAATTACCTCAGGTTAGGTCAAAGTTTATTATAGAGAAATGTTTATTAAAGAGAATTAGAGGTCATTCAGAAATAACAAGCTGTTGGGTTGGCTGGGAAAATAAATTACTGACTTTTGTAAGCCAGAGAGCATCAGAGGTGATGGCAGAGAGTGCTGGAGTTCTTTATTAATTGATGAATGGTGTCTTGGACTTGGCCAACTGGAATGAAGATATGTTGCACTATTCATGCCAATTGATCTTTCCTGGTCACCTCTTTAAGGTCCCAATAGTTCATGAAGAAATTAAATAATTCATACTTCTTAATGAACACTGGCCTGAAAAGCCATTGACTGTCTAAGGACTCCATGATCCCAGCTTCGCTCTTGCTTTGTCGTCTGCTGTTTGGT